TATATATTGATGCCTACTATTTAATAAGCAGGAGGATAACAGAGACCATATATAGCAGATCCTTGAATATCATCGTTTCATTCAACATTGTTTTGTTATAATATTGATAGGATGCTATAGGAACTTAATTCTTATTTATGTCAATTAGCTTGTGGTATAACTAGTTTTGTTATACATCATTTCACTTAATGTCACTTACTGTACATTCTGAGTATACTTAATTGCATAATCAAATTAACCTGATACAAGTTGGTAATTGAATGTTGAGATGTGCAGAGAAGTAAATGCATGCTTCTCTACATCCACCATTAAGAAATCATTTCCATTCTTTTATTGTTCTTATTCTAAATTTCTAGGATATCTATAGATCTACATTACTTTCATAGCTATAAAGACAAATGGTTTAGTGTTAAGGTAGTTTTGCTTCTCCAAAACGTCTCCTGGAGGGGTGACCAAACTCCCTTGTCTACATACAGATTATGTGCTCTGTGCTGGCAGAACCTTTGGATGTTAGGCACAGAGTATGGTACATCTTCCTCTCTCCTAAGTGCTTCACAGATGCTTTACATGTGACAAGCCTTCAGATTCTTAAATACTTTAGTGCAGTACGGTTCCAGCAACGTACTTACCATTCTGTCCGAGTGCTCACAGGTACAAGCTTTCCCCACCCACATCTATCTCAAATTAGGGCTAATCAATGGATTCTTTGAAAGCTCAATCTGCAACTACTAAAAATGAGCCATGCAATATATGACAAAGCCAAATTATAAATGGCTTTTGAAAAATCCTCCTCATCTCTCTCTCAATGACTAAATTTCAAGCACTGCCATAGGCCCCTTGCTAGTCATTCTCTTTTTTCTTTGTAAAGCAAATGCTCAGGAAATCCTATGACTGGACATTTGGAAGTGTAGATTTCTACTGGTGGGACTTCTACGTGGGGGTTGCTGGTGCAAAGGTACCAAGCTTGGGCCAGAAGATCAATAATTCCAAGAAAACAACATCAGCAGCCACCACTTTCCACATGCAGGTTGATGGACCTGGCTCCTAGGCCATGGAACAGAGAAGTGGCCCCTGGAAACTCACATGCCTGCTCCTCGAGGGCTTAACGGTCTCTTTAGTTCTGCGGTTGGCCCTCTTTCCATTCCATCTGTTTTTTTTCTTTCATTTTTAGAGGATCCTCATTGGACACATCACTTTTTCTTTTTAAAGCAGTACTACATGCACCAGGAACAACATTCAAAAGGTACAGAAGAGAACAGTGTGAACCGTCTGTCTCCCTTCAGCCCTGTTACCGAGCGTTCGCTTCCCCTCTCAGGGGGCCAGTTGACCAATTTCTTGGGCACCCTTTCTTTTTCATTTCCACCACCAACTCCCTAGACCGGGCTCTCATTTCTTCATGCCTCTCTTAATGTAACAGCTCACACCAGTTTTTCTCTTTCCACGCCCTTCCACTATCAGGTAGAGTAACTGAGAAAAATGCCTGGGTAAGGCCTGGTCTGGAGCTTGATATGCATGAGACATGTAAATGGTACAAGAGGGAGGAAGGAGTCCAAGGTGGGAGCTTACTTAAGTGGGAAGCTTACCTGAGATTCTGGCATACAGTGATTCTCTGTAAATGTTTCTTGGGTAACTGGGATGAGCAATGAAACAAGCGTGCCATGTTACGGGAATCAGGAAGGAAAGAACTTCACTGCAGCAGAGAATTCAGAATAATAACTGAATAAGAACAGGGCCAGTACCATAATGTTAATATCTATTGGGTTAGTCATGGATGTTCTCAGCTTCTAAGCATTCTGTTATTTATTCCTACTATTTAACCCTTTATGAGATAGCACTCATTATCCATTTTATAGATCAGGAAACAGTCTTGGGAAGGTTTAGTAAATTTCCTTCAGAATAATAACTGAATAAGAACAGGGCCAGTACCATAATGTTAATATCTATTGGGTTAGTCATGGATGTTCTCAGCTTCTAAGCATTCTGTTATTTATTCCTATTATTTAACCCTTTATGAGACAGCACTCATTATCCAGTTTATAGATCAGGAAACAGAGTCTTGGGAAGGATTAGTAAATTTCTAAGGATGCTCAGAGGATGTGCAGTCAAAAGTCAAATCCAGGATCCAAGTTCAATGGTCAGGGACAAGAATAAAGATAGGATAAAAAAACCTGGAGCATCTGGAATTTGCAAACCAGGACACTAGTGGGGGACACTGCCTGTATGTCACATCATTCTAGGTACTGAGCAATGGTCAGGGACAAGAATAAAGATAGGATAAAGAAACCTGGAACATCTGGAATTTGCAAACTAGGATTTGGGGGACACTGCTTGTATGTCACATCATTCTAGGTACTGATGAGGACCTAATGTGTGCATAAAATATGTCTCCTTTCCTGTAAGAACTTGTATGCTGTATGTTTTTAAATCTGATGTGACACTGTTTTGAAGGTGACCTGAGCTACTCCATTAGTGCTCTCTTGGTGTTTCAGTTACATTACAGCCTCCTGAAGACAGGGTCAGTGGTTAATATTCCCTCTGAACCTCCTTGTACTGCACAGACAAGTCTTGTACCATTTACATGCCTTATACATATCAGTATTTATTCTTGAATTCTCT